AGCTTGCTAATTGCAACGTTCACACTTGCTTTAAGCAGACAAGAGTTCTTTCTCCCACCTTGGACATTATTCCACAGGTATATACATACACACTCCTCTTGCTTCACTGCCAACAAACCTCTGAAGATGCCATTAGCTACAGATACAGGTGAAACATCAGGTGAGAATGCTACTGGAACATGGCCGGACCGCCTGAAAACCCAATAGCAATCCAGTGTTGAACCCTTCGACAACATATAGAATTAATTATCATTGGTATTTTTAAAAATCCAATAAAAATCCATTAAAAACATCTTCAAAACTGAAAACGAGGGCAGTTCGGACTCGATCTTAAGAGCGTCCTTCTTGCAGCTGCCAAAGAAAAGGCCTGAGAAGAAGAACGGAGCGTCCTGGGCCTTTGTCTGCCCGGCAGAAGGAGCCTTGGCAGCACCACCAGCCTCCATTCAAGGCCAGGACGCCTTGACCCCTCCATTCAAGGCTGGACACTGGGAGGGAACAAGGAGGGGAATATGGACAGGGGGGCCTCCAAATACGTGGCAGGCACCATGTTCCACGCAACAGAGACCGGACCCAACATGCCTGGCTGGTCAGTGCTTTGGCTCCCTGGCCCGCTGCCTTCCTGCTTCTCCAAGGGGTTTTCCAAGGAAAAGACCCCTCTTTGCCTCCTTTTCTCTTCCCCGAATAGTCCACTAGAAAGGCCACGGAGGGTTGCCTACTCCGTCTATTTTGTTGCCACTCTAGTTACCTTGGCCCATCAACTATGATCCTAGGAGTCTAGAATCATAGACTCATAGAGTTGGAAGACACCTCGTGGGCCATCCAGTCCAACCCCCAGCCAAGAAGCTGGACAATCGCATTCAAATCACAGAGCTGGAGGCGACCCCAAGGGCCACCTAGTCCAAAAACACCATCAAAGCACCCCCGAAAGATAGCCATCCAGTCTCTGCTTTATTATTATTATAGAATAATAAAGTTGGGAGAGACCACAAGGGCCATCCAATCCAACCCCCTTCTGCCTTCAGCAGTGGAACTCTCTGCCCCAGAAGGAATGTGGTGGAGTCTCCTTCTTTGGAGGCTTTTAAACAGAGGCTGGATGGCCATCTGTCAGGGGTGCTTTGAATGCAATATTCCTGCTTCTTGGGGTTGGACTGGATGGCCCAGGAGGTCTCTTCCAACTCTTGGATTCTAGGATTCAATGATTCATGCAGGGAAAAGCACAATCAAAGTACCATTGACAGATGACCATCCATTATTCTTATTACTCTTATTATTACTCTGTTGGGAGTGCTTTGATTGTGCCTTTCCTGCATGAAGGCAGAAGGGGGTTGGACTAAATGGCCCTTGTGTTCTTTCCCAACTCTGTGATTTTTAAGAGTAATAATGAGTAATAAAATAATATGAATAAGAATAATAAGAATAATGTAGATGCTGGATGGTCATCTGTGCTTTGATGGTGCTTTTCCTGCATGAAGGCAGATTTGGGTTGGACTAGGAGGCCCGTGGGGTCTCTCCCAACTCTATTCTTTTATAATAAGAGTAACAATAAGAGTAATAATAATAATGCAGAGGCTGGATGGCCATCTGTCGGGGGTGCTTTGATGGTGCTTTTCCTGCATGAAGGCAGATGGGGGTTGGACTAGGAGGCCCTTGGGGTCTCTCCCAACTCTATTATTTTTTAATAAGAGTAACAATAAGAGTAGAAGTAGTAATACTACTACTACTAATAATAATAATAATAATGCAGAGGCTGGATGGTCATCTATCAGAGGTGCTCTGAAGGTGCTCACTCTGCATGGCTGGAGGGCCATCTGTCAGGAGTGCTTTGATGGTGCCTTTCGTGCATGAAGGCAGATGGGGGTTGGACTGGATGACCCTTGTGGTCTCTCCCAACTTTATTATTCTATAATTCTATAATAATAATAATAATAATAATAATAATAATAATAATAATAATGCAGAGGCTGGATGGCCATCTTTTGGGAGTGCTTTGATGGTGGTACCGAGACAGCCTTGGTCGCCTTAGTGGATGATCTTCGCCGGGAACTGGACAGGGGGAGTGTGTCCCTGTTGGTTCTGCTGGACCTCTCAGCGGCCTTTGATACCATCGACCACGGTATCCTCCTGGGATGCCTCGCGGGGATGGGTCTTGGGGGTACTGCTTTGCAGTGGCTCCAGTCCTTTCTCGTGGGGCGATCCCAGAAGATGTCGCTAGGGGACTCCTGCTTGACCCCACGGCCATTGTACCGTGGAGTCCCGCAGGGTTCAGCATTGTCCCCTATGTTGTTTAACATCTACATGAAGCCGTTGGGAGAGATCATCTGGAGTTTCGGGGTGCGATGTCATCTGTACGCAGATGATGTCCAACTCTGTCACTCCTTTCCACCTGCTACTAAGGAGGCTGTCCAAGTCCTGAACCAGTGTCTGGCCGCTGTGACGGTCTGGGTGAGGGACAACAGATTGAAACTAAATCCAGACAAGACAGAGGTCCTCCTGGTCAGTCGCAAGGCCGAACAGGGCATAGGGTTACAGTCTGTGCTGGATGGGGTCGCACTCCCCCTGAAGACTGAAGAAGTGATCCTGGACTCATTGCTGAGCCTGGAGCCCCAGGTTTCGGCGGTGGTCAGGGGAGCTTTTGCACAATTAAAACTTGTGCGCCAGCTGCGCCCATACCTTGGGAAGTCTGACTTGGCCACGGTGGTCCACGCTTTGGTTACATCCCAATTAGATTACTGCAACGCTCTCTACGTGGGGTTGCCTCTGAAGACTGCCCGGAAGCTCCAACTAGTCCAATGTGCGGCAGCCAGACAAGAAAGGAGATTCCACATGAACATGAGGAAGAACTGCCTGACTGTGAGAGCTGTTCACAGTGGAACTCTCTGCCCCGGAGTGTGGTGGAGGCTCCTTCTTTGGAGGCTTTTAAACAGAGGCTGGATGGCCATCTGTCAGGGGTGCTTTGAAGGCAATATTCCTGCTTCTTGGCAGGGGAGTTGGACTGGATGGCCCATGAGGTCTCTTCCAACTCTATGTCCAACGAGCGGCAGCCAGACTACTAACAGGAGTGGGGTACAGTGAGCATACGACTCCTCTGTTGCGTCAGCTCCACTGGCTGCCAATCAGCTTCCGAGCACAATTCAAAGTGCTGGTGTTGACCTATAAAGCCCTAAACGACTCTGGCCTGGTTTTCCATTCGGGGCAGGAGTTGTTTCAGGAGGGGCTGAGTCTGAGTGAAAGAGGGTCTACCCTAGCAAACCTTTTGTATCATTACCCCAATACCCCCATGCATATGGGATATATTGAGTATGGTGATCAGATCATGATATGAATAAACATAACAGTTTAAATAATGCACCAGTAAGGCCTTTTCGCGAACCCCATGATAATTTCGGGGGGGGGGGCTGAAGCCCCCCAACCCCCCCCCCCCCCCCCCCCGGCTACATGCCTGCGACTCCGGCCCTGTTTACCTCTCCAAACGTATTCTCCCCTTGTTGTTTTTCATTCGTTCAGTCGTCTCCGACTCTTCGTGACCTCATGGGCCAGCCCACGCCAGAGCTCCCTGTCGGCCGTCACCACCCCCAGCTCCTTCAAGGTCAAGCCAGTCCCTTCAAGGATGCCGTCCATCCATCTTGCCCTTGGTTGGCCCTTCTTCCTTTTACCTTCCACTTTCCCCAGCATCGTTGTCTTCTCTAGGCTTTGCTGTCTCCTCATGATGTGGCATTCAAAGGACTTCCGCTTTCCCTCTCGTCTCCTTCCCTCCAGTGAGCTTTAGTCGGGCTTTCTTTCCTGGAGGATGGACTGGTTGGATCTTCTCGCAGTCCAAGGCACTCTCAGCACTTTCCTCCAACACCACAGCTCAAAGGCATCTCTCTTCCTTGGCTCAGCCTTCCCTAAGGTCCAGCTCTCACATCCGTAGGTTTCTACAGGGAAGACCGTGGCTTTGACTAGGCAATGGATCTTGGTTGCCAGTCTGATGTCTCTACTCTTCACTATTTTATCGAGACTGGACATTGCTCTCCTCCCAAGAAGTAATTCTCCCCTATGAGCCACCAAGATTGCTAAAATCATCCGGGGAGGCCCTGCTCTCGATCTCACCGGCCTCGCAAGCATGTCTGGTGGGGACGAGAGACAGGGCCTTCTCGGTGGTGGCCCCTCGACTCTGGAATTCCCTTCCACTGGAGATCAGAACGGCCCGTTCGATCTTAACGTTCAGGAAACAGGTGAAAACCTAGCTTTGGGGATTGGCATTCGACGAATGAGCCACGATCCTGTGATACGGATGGATGACGACGAATAATGGTTTTTGATGATGACTGACCACTGTAATTATTTGATTGTATTTTTGCCATTTTAATGTTTTAGTGTGATTTAGAAATGTGATGTTTTAATGACGATCTGTAATATTGATGTTGGTGAGAAGACTGGGATACAAAACTACCAAATAAACAAACAAATAAATAAATAAATTTGATGGTGGCCCTTGAGGGTCTGTCCCAACTCTATGACCCAGCTGGAAGGGGCTCCCAAGGGCCATCCAGCACCATCCGATCCCTCCCGACAGATGTCCACGCCGCCTCTACTCTTGTGAAGCATCTCTGAGCGTGAGGTAAACAAACAAAGGCACCCCAGGCCTACTCCCTGCCCATCTCGCTCCCTCCCATCGAACCCACGTTCCTCTGGAGCCTCCTTCCTCCGTTCCTTACCGGCCTGGCCTTCCTTCCTTCCTTCCTTCCTTCCTTCCTCGCCGCCTCCTTCCCTCTCTTGACTCCGGGGCGCCTCCGCTGCTCCTCCTGCCACTCACGGGCCACGCCCGCACGCCATTGGCTCCCGCAGAGAGAGGCCGGCCCCCGTCGCCAAGCAACGGCCGCCCGCCGCCATGGGAACCGCGCGCAGGCCCCGCCCCCTCCTCCCGCTACCCTTCTACCCGGCGGTTTCCACGGCGACGCGCCGCCCCGCCCACCTTCCACCGGAAGTGGTCCGTCAATCCGGCGGAAGCGCGGCCGGGGGGACGCTTGTTGGTGAAGGCACCTTCCGTTTCCGGCCAGAGGAGGCCGCGCGTCTTTCCTGCGTGAGGCGGCGGGAAAGAAAGAAAAGAAGAAGGAAGGAAGGAAGGAAAGAAGGCAGGCGGAGAGGGATCCCGAAGGAACAGAGAGGAAGGAGAGACTCCACCACCATCATGGTGAGGCCTCGGGCAGGAGGGAGAGGGCGAGGCTGGGCCCGGTCGCGGCCTACGCAGGGAATCAGGGGAGAACGGGCCGCGTGGGCATCTAGCAGGCAGGAAAAGCACAATCAAAGCACTCCTGACAGATGGCCATCCAGCCTCTGTTCACAAGTTTCCAAGGAAGGAGCTCCCACTGCACTCCGAGGCAGAGAGTTCCACTGTTGAACAGCTCATCTGAGGAGTTCCTTTCTAAGGATCAAGTGGAATCTCCCTTTAATTATTTATTTAAAACCACAATCAAAGCACTCCTGACAGATGGCCATCCAGCTTCTGTTTACAAGTTTCCAAGGAAGGAGCTTCCACTGCCCCCCGAGGCAGAGAGTTCCACTGTTGAACAGTTCATCTGGGGAGTTCCTTCCTAAGGATCAAGTGGAATCTCCCTTTAATTATTTATTTAAAAGCACAATCAAAGCACTCCTGACAGATGGCCATCCAGCTTCTGTTTACAAGTTTCCAAGGAAGGAGCTTCCACTGCCCCCCGAGGCAGAGAGTTCCACTGTTGAACAGTTCATCTGGGGAGTTCCTTCCTAAGGATCAAGTGGAATCTCCCTTTAATTATTTATTTAAAAGCACAATCAAAGCACTCCTGACAGATGGCCATCCAGCCTCTGTTCACAAGTTTCCAAGGAAGGAGCTCCCACTGCACTCCGAGGCAGAGAGTTCCACTGTTGAACAGCTCATCTGAGGAGTTCCTTTCTAAGGATCAAGTGGAATCTCCCTTTAATTATTTATTTAAAACCACAATCAAAGCACTCCTGACAGATGGCCATCCAGCCTCTGTTTACAAGTTTCCAAGGAAGGAGCTTCCACTGCCCCCCGAGGCAGAGAGTTCCACTGTTGAACAGTTCATCTGGGGAGTTCCTTCCTAAGGATCAAGTGGAATCTCCCTTTAATTATTTATTTAAAAGCACAATCAAAGCACTCCTGACAGATGGCCATCCAGCCTCTGTTCACAAGTTTCCAAGGAAGGAGCTCCCACTGCACTCCGAGGCAGAGAGTTCCACTGTTGAACAGCTCATCTCATGGTCAGGAGGTCCTTCCTAAGGATCAAGTGGAGTCTCCTTTTATTTGTTTATTTATCTACATATAAATAAAAATGTAATGTTAGTTTGTGGGATTAACATAACTCATAAACCACTGGACGAATTGACATCAAATTGGGACACAATCAGGCCAAGGAGTGACCATCTATATCTATATAAAAATGCTCTGTGCATAATGAGTGCCTTAAAAACAAAAGAACCAATGAACGAAATCAAACCAAATTTGGCAACAAAATGTGTCAAAACATAAGGAGTGACCATCACTCAAAAAAATTATGATTTTGTCATTTTTTGCTGGGATTTACAGTTCACCTACAATCAAAGAGCATTCTGAACTCCACCAACGATGGAATTGACAAACTTGGCACACAGAACTCCCATGACCAACAGAAAATACTGGAAGGGTTTGGTGGGCATTGACCTTGAGTTTTGGAGTTGTAGTTCACCTACATCCAGAGCGCACTGTGGACTCAAATAATGATGGATCTGGACCAAGCTTGGCATAATACTCAATATGCCCAAATATGAACACTGGTGAGGTTTGGGGAAATAGACCTTGACATTTGGAGTTGTAGTTGCTGGGATTCTACTTTGAAAGGGAAAGATGGAAGGAGAAGAGAGAAGAAAAAATGAAAGAGGAAGGAAAGGAAGGAAGGAAGGAGAAGGAAGGATGGAACCAAAGAGCAAAGGAAGCGAGGGAAGAAACAAGTAGAGAAGAAGGAAGAAGGGAAGGAAAAAGAGGGAAGGAAGGAAAGAGGGAGGGAAGGAAGGAAGGAGAGAAAGAGGGAGAGAGGGAAGGAGAAAAAGAGGGAGGGAAGGTTGGCCACAGCAAGGCGTGGCGGATACAGCTAGTCACTCATAAATACATTGAAAAACACAGCAGAAGAGACTTAAAAAGCAAAAAAAACCCCACATTACAACGCATGCACAAAGCCACATATATACAGGCAGAGAGTTCCACTGTTGAACAGCTCATCTTATGGTCAGGAGTTCCTTCCTAAGGATCAAGTAGAATCTCCTTTTATTTATTTATCTATATAAATAAAAATGTAATGTTCGTTTGCGGGATTAACATAACACAAAAACCACTGGACGAATTGACACCAAATTTGGACACAAGACACCTCTCAGGCCAAGGAGTGACCGTCACTCATAAAAACACTGAAAAATACAACAGAAGGGACTCAAAAAGCCAAAAACCACAAAAATTACATTACAACGCATGCGCAAAACTACATATGTTCACAAGCACACACATATATGCGTGACTTGGGGCCTTTTCCTCTAGCACTTAAGACCTGGCTTTTCACTAGAGCATTCGATCTCTGTTAATTTTTAAATTCTGTATGTATGTATTTTATCTTTTACAATTTAGCTGTAAATCACCTAGAGCATTCTCAGATGGAGGGCGATTAATAACTTATTAAATATGATGATGATGATAATACAGAGAGTAAACCCAACTACCTTCCCCCAGTGTCCATAGTTTATATTATTCATAGGAAGGTCCATAAAGGGAAATATATCCATGAGGGGGAAATAGAGTCCCTTGTTTGTTCTGGCCCAGCGTATCTCTCCGAACGCATCTTCTACGTCCCGCCTCGGAGTTTAAGATATTCTGGGGAAGCCCTGCTCTCGGCCCCGCCTCTTTCACAAGTGAGGTTGATGGGGACGAGGAGCAGGGCCTTCTCAGTGGTGGCCCCTCACCTATGGAATTCACGCCCTGGGGAAATTAGGTCATTGACATCCTTCCTCTCTTTTAGAAGGAAATTAAAAACATGGATTTGGGACCAGGCTTTCGGGGAATCTGGCAGATAGACAAAGGACAAGCGACGACTAGAACTGATGGATTTGACAATGTGGAACTGAATTCACAGACTCTGAGATGGCGAATGTTGAGCATTTGATTGGTTTTTAGGGAATGTGATGTATAATGGATTGTTTTTAATTGTTTTAACTACTGTTTATATATGTTTTACTTTTTACCTTGTTGTTGTGCTGGCATTGAATTGTGCCTTTTTGTAAGCCGCCCTGAGTCCCCCCTCAGGGGTTGAGAAGGGCGGGGTAGAAGTACGATAAATAAATAAATAAATAAATTTAGAACTTTTGTATCCTGTTCTTCTCTACCTCCATGGAGGGACTCAGAACAGCTAACAGCAAAATTCAATGCTATACAATAAATACGTTCTGAAATACATATAAAATCAATATTCATCACATTAAAAACAACATCCAAATCTGTCCAAAATGCTGTGTCCAAATAACTTTTAGTCTATATCAAATCAGCCCAATCTGCAAATGCCTGACTGCAAAGCGAGAATTTTAGCTGCTTCTTGAATGACAGGAGAGAGGGGGCAGACCTAATCTCGCCAGGGAGAGAGTTCCATAGCCGGGGGGCCATCACAGAGAAGACCGTGTCTGTTGTCCCCACCAAACTTGCCTGTGAAGATGGTGGGACCGAGAGCAGGGCCTCTCCCAAAGATCTTAAAGTCCTTGATGATTTATAGGGGAAGATACAATCGGACAGGTAAACCGGGTCTGAGCCGTGTAGGAGTTTGTAGGTTAAAACCAGCACTTTGAATTGTGCTCGGAAGCTAATTGGCAGCCAGTGGAGCTGGTGTAACGGGGTTGCGCGCTCCCTGTACCCCGCTCTCGTGAGCAACCTGGCTGCCAAGCGTTGGACTAGTTGGAGCTTCCAAACAGTCTGCAGAGGCAACCCTACGGAGAGTGCGTTGCAGTAGTCTTTCCTGTTATTTAAACCTATGGTTCCATTGGGTCCTAGTTTCCTGAGCAGCAGAAAAAAAGCCTGATCCCTCTCCCTTATTTTCTCATGTCTCCCATTTGCCCAGAATTGGACTTTTGGTTTAACCAAAGCAGAACAGAGGGCACAATGACTTCTCCCCTCAATGGGCTTTTTTAGCTTCAGCGTCACACTCTTGGCTCATGTTCAACTAGTTGTCCACAAAGACTCCAAGATCTTTTTCACATGTTCTGTTGTTTATTTATTTTCCTGCTCAGAGCAACTAGAGAAACTGCAAGTCGCTTCTAGTGTGAGAGAACTGGCCGTCTGCAAGACCTTTCGATAGCAAGCCATCTCCCATCCTGTATCTTTGCATTTCGTTTTTTTCTACCTAACTAGTATCTTACATTTTTCCTTCTTGGAATTGGTTTTGTGAGTTTTGCTCAATCAGCTTTCCAATCTGTTAAGGTTATTTTGAATTCCGATCCTGTTCTCATGGAGTATTAGCTTTCCTTTCTAATTTGTTCCCATCTGGAAATTTGATGAGCACACTCTCATCCAAGTTATTAATGAAGATATTGTATTGTCGAAGGCTTTCATGGCCGGAATCACTCAGTTCTTGTGGGTTTTTTCGGGCTATATGGCCATGTTCTAGAGGCATTTCTCCTGACGTTTCGCCTGCATCTATGGCAAGCTTCCTCAGAGGTGAGGTGTGCTGGAGCTGGGAAAAAGGGGTTTATATATCTGTGGAATGACCAGGGTGAGACAAAAGGCTTTTGTAAGTTGGGCTAGGTGTGAATCTTTTCAACGGACCACCTTGATTAGCATACAATGGGCTGACAGTGCCTGGAGCAAACTCTTCTTGAAAGGTGATTAGATGTCCCTGCCTGTTTTTCTCTCTGCTGTTTTAATTTTAGAGTTTTTTAATACTGGTAGCCAGATTTTGTTCATTTTCATGGTCTCTTCATTTCTGTTGAAATTGTCCACATGCTTGTGGATTTCAATGGCTTCTCTGTGTAGTCTGACATGTTGTCAGCCTTTTGTCTCACCCTGGTCATTCCACAGATATATAAACCCCTTTTTCCCAGCTCCAGCAGACCTCTGAGGAAGCCTGCCATAGATGCAGGCGAAACGTCAGGAGAAATGCCTCTAGAACATGGCCATATAGCCCGAAAAAACCCACAAGAACTGAATGAAGATATTGAGCAGAACTAGGCCCAGGATTGAACCCTCTTCATGGCACCCAGATAGTTACGTCTTTCCAGAATGGAAAAGAGGAAAGTTTGGGGAGAAGCACCCTTTGGGTTTGGTCGCTTAACCAATTACAGATCCACCTAATAGTAGCATTCCCGAGCCCACATTTGATTAGTTTCCTTGCAAGAAGGTCATGAGGAACTTTGTTGAAGATCGTGCTTGGTGGTCCTCAGCCTGTGTGTCCCCAAGTGTTTTGGGCTACAACTCCCAGAAATCCCATCCAGTTTACCAGCTGTTAGGATTTCTTGGAGGTGAAGGCCAAAACATCTGGGGACCCACAGGTTGAGAACAATCGAAGCATCCCCAACAGATAGCCATCCAGCCTCTCTTTAAAAGTTTCCAAGAAAGGAGCTTCCACCAGACTTCTCATTTCCTGCTGACCCTCTTCCTTCCTTCCTTCCTTCCTTCCTTCCTTCCTTCCTCTCTTAGACGGTGGGAAAGAGCAGCAAGATGCTGCAGCACATCGACTACCGCATGCGGTGCATCCTGCAGGACGGGCGCGTCTTCATTGGAACCTTCAAGGCCTTCGACAAGCACATGAACCTCATCCTCTGCGACTGCGATGAGTTTCGAAAGATCAAGTGAGGACAACCCTTTTGATACAGGCATGGGCAACTTCGACCCACCAATGGTTTTGGACTTCAACTCTCACAATTCCTAACAGCGCTGTTAGGAATTGTGGGAGTTGGAGTCCAAACCCCCCTGGAGGGCCCAAGTTGGCTCAGGTCTACTCTTGAATATTTGCATTTCCTGTTTTAAATGAATCCAAGTGTATGGTTGCTACTTGCATCCAGTCCCCTTGGTGTATAAATAAGGTTAATAATAATGTAACCAAATCTGAAAAAAAAATATGTCCCTGGTTTGAAAGTGTTATTTCCTGTTTAATTGTGCAATCCTTACTTTGAAAGTAGTTGGGAGGTGTTAGCTGGCCCTGATTGGTTCTTTTCTGAAATTCCCTTGTTTTGAGTGTTGTTCTTTATTTACTGTCCTGATTTTAGAGTTTTTAAAAAATACTGGGAGCCAGATAAATAATAGAATAATACAGTTGGAAGAAACCCCAATGTGCATCTAATCCAACCCCCTGACATGAAGGAAAAGCACAATCGAAGCACCTCTGACATATGGCCATCCAGCCTCTGCTTTTTTGTTATTTATTATTATAATTGAATTGCAGCTTTAAAGCCTGGCTGCTTCCTGCCTGGGGGAATCCTTTGTTGGGAGGTGATTAGCTGGCCCTGATTTAACCACCATGTCAGACTACACAGAGAACATGTGGACAGTTTCGACAGAAAGGAGGAAACCATAAAATGAACAAAATCTGGCTCCCAGTATTTTTAAAAAACTCTAAAATCAGAACAGTAAATAAAGAACAACACTCAAAACAAGGGAATTTCAGAAAAGAATCAATCAGGACCAGCTAACACCTCCCAACAAAGGATTTCCCCCATAGAATCATAGAACCATTGAGTTGGAAGAGACCTTGTGGGCCATCCAGTCCAACCTCCTGCCAAGAAGCAGGAAAATTGCATTCAGGCTTTGAAGCTGCATGGCCATTCAGTGCTAATCAAAATGGCCAATGGCAACATTCACACTTGCCTCAAGCAGACAAGAGTTCTTTCTCCCACCCTGGACATAATTCCACAGATACATAAACCTCACTTGCCTAGTTTCCAACAGACCTCACAACCTCTTGAGGATTCCTGCCATAGATGTGGGTGAAATGTCAGGAGAGAATGCTTCTGGAGCATGGCCAGACAGCCCAGAAAAATCACAGCAACCCATTGCATTTATGGTCAGGCCCGATTCCCATTTTGTCCAAGCGCACAGTGGACATGCAAATACACATGCCTCCGGTGCTTAATGTGTCTGTGAATGCTGCTTTAATCAGCTTTGCCTTTGGCTTTTCAGGCCCAAGAACTCCAAACAGCCGGAGCGGGAGGAGAAGCGCGTCCTGGGCCTGGTGCTGCTGCGAGGGGAGAACCTGGTCTCCATGACGGTGGAGGGACCGCCCCCCAAAGATGTAAGGAGCCACCGGTCTCTGGGGGGGGAGGGGGGCTTTGGGAGACCCTCCCCTGCGGTCCTGCCACTTTCCATGTCCTGCTGATCCTAAGAACCATGACCAGCTTCCTTGTGGGAGTTGTGTGGCCTTCCAGGAACTGTAATTCCCAGCATTCTGGATCACTGACTGCTGGGAATGGCTGCGGTTCAACAGGATCTGGCAGGCCATGCCTTTCCTGCTCCTGTTTGAAAGCACATACACATTTTTTGTCATCTCAGCAACATTTACTAGGCTGGTTAACACCTGTTTACAAACACAGGTAGCTGGGGCACCTTTCCTTTTGCTGTTCAGAATTTTATAAAATCTTATGATTAGATGGGATCCCAAGGATTGTGTTTGATTTTTTACGGTATTATTTTGCTTTCTTTTGTATTTTTATGCTTTATTTATTTTATGGCGATGTTTGTTCTATACTTTTGTGTTATTTTATTGTAATTGTAATAAATAAAATTGTGCTACTGGGCTTGGCCTCATGTAAGCCACCCCGAGTCCCGTTTGAGGAGATGGTGAAGGGGAATAAATAAAGTTTATTAAACCGCTTTGAGTCCCCTTAGGGGTGAGAAAAGCGGTATAGAAATACTGTAAATAATAAATATTATTATTACTATTATTGACACAGAAGTACAGTTTGTCACAGCAAACGAGATCTATATGCTGGATTTCATATTATTATTATTATTATTATTATTATTATTACTAGCCGTCCCCTGCCACGTGTTGCTATGGCCCACATGGGGGTTCTGTGTGGGATGTGTAGCTTAATTCTATCGTTGGTAGGGTTCAGAATGCTCTGTGATTGTAGGTGAACTACAAATTCCAGCAACTACAACTCCCAAATGTCAAGATTCTATTTTCCCCAAACTCCACCAGTGTTCACATTTGGACATATTGAGTATTCGTGTAGTTTGGTCCAAATGCATCATTGTTTGAGTCCACAGTGCTCTCTGGATGTAGGTGAACTACAACTCCAAAACCAAAGGACACTGCCCACCAAACCCTTCCAGTATTTTCTGTTGGTCATGGGAGTTCTGTGTGCCAAGTTTGGTTCAATTCCATTGTTGGTGGAGTTCAGAATGCTCTTTGATTGTAGGTGAACTATAAATCCCAGCAACTACAACTCCCAAATGACAAAATCATAATTTTTGAGTGATGGTCACTCCTTGTGTTGTGAGACGTTTTGTTGCCAAATTTGGTGTGATTTCGTTCATTGGTTCTTTTGTTTTTAAGGTACTCATTATGCACAGAGCATTTTTATATATATATAGATGATGATGATGATGGTGATTATTATTATTATTATTGAGCTATCCAGCTCTTCTGCCAGGCAGGAAGGCACAGTCAAAGCCCTTCAGACAGGTGGCCACCCTGCCTCTGCTTAGAATCACGAAGTGAAGGGGACTCCCAGGAAGTTTGGGGAGATAATGGATAGCTAAGGGAGTCAGCTTGAAGGAGAATTCAGTTGAGGTTTGGACTAAAATGCCATTCCTGGAGGCCAGGTGCCCAAGAGGCTTTTCCAACCACAGCAGAGCGTGGCACCTCGTTTGCTATGGGCTCCCAGGGAATTATTACTGTTTAGAATCCTAGAGTTGGAAGAGACCTGGTGGGCCATCCAGTCCAACCCTATTCTGGGGGTCTCTCCCAACTCTATTATTCTATGATTCCATGAAGACAAAGAATTGACGCTGTTGCAGACCTTTTCAAATGCCTAAAAGGGCCCTGGCTCTCTCTTTCTCTCTCTTTCAGACGGGCATCGCCCGTGTGCCTCTGGCCGGGGCCGCAGGAGGGCCCGGCGTGGGCAGAGCAGCAGGGAGGGGTGTTCCCGCAGGAGCCCCCATGCCCCAGGCCCCTGCAGGGCTGGCCGGCCCCGTACGCGGCGTCGGAGGGCCCTCCCAGCAGGTAAGCCAAGCCACCCTGCCATGGGGCCTTTTGGGGTGGGGGCGGCAGGGGAGAGGTGCGTGGTGTTGTTCTATTTACTATGTTACCTCAAATCTAAGCCATGATCGAAACCAGGCTTTGGTTTGCATATCTTACTGCATTTCCTCTGCCAAAATAACACCTTGCTTTTGTTTCCACGTGGCTTTGTGGTTCCTTTTTCCTGTGGGGTGAGGAGGGAGTGGGAAGAAACCTGCAGTGCTTGCCTCCTCCTGCAACGTGCAGTCATTGAATTCCGGACAGCAGAAGGTGTCACCTCAACATCTTTAAACTTACTCACCCAACGGCGCACAGCACTCACATCAACACAATCACCATAAACAACTTGCCTTCTTGGATGAATCTCCTTTGGGGTGACACCTTCTGCTGTCAAGAATTCAGTGGCTGCACCTTGCTTAAATCGCATTGACCGACCGTCTGCACAGGTTCCATACTTCACACTTTACCAACACAACCATTCAATGCTAAGGCGTCCCGCCAAAATGGAACTGTAGAGGAGAGTCTATTGAACAAGCTAGTACCTGCCGCATACGTTGCTTAACTCAACCGTCTGCGCAGGGTTCCATGCTTCGCACTTTAACAACACAACTGTCCAATGCTAAGGCTTCCCACCAAAATGGAACTGTACAGGAGAGTCTACTGAACAAGCCAGTACCTGCCACATACGTTGCTTAAGTCACATTGGCCGACCGTCTGCGCAGGGTTCCATACTTCGAACTTTTACAATGCTAAGGTTTCCTGCCAAAATGGAACTGTAGAGGAGAGTCTACTGAACAAGCCAGTACCTGCCGCATATGTTGCTTAAGTTGAATTGACAGACTCTGCGCAGGGTTCCATACTTCACACTTTAACAACACAACCGCTTAATGCTAAGGCTTCCCACCAAAATGGAACTGTAGAGGAGGGTCTACCGAACAAGCCAGTACCTGCCCCATACCAGTACTGCTATCTCTTGAGTTATGAAGGTGGAGGCATTATTTTTCATTCAACCCTCGTATACTTCTGACTTCCAGCATCCCCCTTCACCTCTTGATTGAGTGGCTCTGCGCGAACCGTGTCCAGTCCCCCCTTGTAGCACTTTCTCCTTTCCTTTCCGCAGGTGATGACTCCGCAGAGCCGAGGGACCGTGGCCGCAGCGGCCGCAGCAGCCACAGCCAGTATCGCAGGGGCCCCCACTCAGTACGGCCCCGGCCGGGGGGGCCCCCCTCCTCCCATGGGCAGGGGCACCCCACCTCCAGGTAAGTCGGGGCCCGATTTGGCCCATTTTTTCCACCTGGCGGAACCTGTGATGAGAGGACAACCTCTGATCCCCGTGAGGAACTGGTGTCAAAGCAGGATTACTCTGAGGTTCTCGTCTCGTGTGTCTGTGTTGGGGAGCAGTACTGAGGATCACTGCTGTTCTGAGCCTTCTTCGTGTCCTCTGCAGGGATGATGGGCCCCCCTCCTGGCATGAGGCCCCCCATGGGCCCTCCAATGGGCATGCCTCCAGGCCGAGGCTCACCGATGGGAATGCCGCCCCCCGGGATGAGGCCGCCACCGCCAGGCATGAGAGGTGAGCCCTCTTTTGAGTCAATCAAAGCAGTGGGGAGTGGGGTTGAGCGCATGGCCAGGGAGGAGGCACTGCTAGTCCTCTGCCTGAGTCTCGGTGGGTCACTGTACCTTTAAGGCGGAGTGTTGTTGTTGTTGACTTCTGCCCCTTCTCTGCCCTGTCTTTTCCAGGCCCCCCTCCTCCCGGCATGCGCCCCCCCAGACCCTGAGGCGGACGACAAAGGAGCCGAAGTTGAGCCATGTTGCGGTTGTGCGTCTTCATTTGTGGGTGGGTCGGGAGGTGGGTTGTTTGTTTGTGTGGTTTCTGTTTTTCACTGTCACGGTGCCGTTCTTAAATAAAAGCTAGGACGTTTCCTCCTCCTTTGGGGACTGGACTCTGATTTGGAGGCTGAGAGAGTGCTTCCATCCTCATTAAGGCTTCACAGCCTTTGGTTTTCTTAATTACCCCGAGACCAAGGACGGGGGCTGCCGGGCTCCTTCGTCCCTTTCTTCTGCCACAGTCCTAGGCCACCAAAGGGACTGACCCTTGGGCACAGGAAAGGGCAGTGGAGGGGAAATCCCACCTGGAGCGCCCACCCCTCAAAAGCCTTCTCTTTCCTGGCAAAGAGGCAACCAGCCACCTGCTCCAAGCCTAGTAGCAGATTTGTATAGTCTCGACCTAAAATTTATTTATTTATTTTGTCAGGGCAATCAGACCATTGTATTACATTTCTAACAGAACAAAACAAACAGACAAAACACGAAATTTGCAAGTTTGGTAGTTGATTAGATGTCCTTTGACCAGTCTCTGTCCCCTTGGAGTGCCTCTGGTGTTGCCCCAAGGAGGTCCTCCATTGTGCATCATGTGGCAGGGCTCAGGCTGCATTGCAGCAGGTGGTCAGTGGTTTGCTCTTCTCCACACTCGCATGTCGAGGATTCCACTTTGTGGCCCCATTTCTTGAGGTTGGCTCTGCATCTCGTGGTGCCAGAGCGTAGTCTATTCAGTGCCTTCCAAGTCGTCCAGTGTTCTGTGTATTTCAATGGCTACTCTGTGTAGTGTGACATGGTGGTTGTGAGAGCAAAGGGAAGCTGAGGAGGAAACACAACATACAAACCACCTACAGACCCACCAAGAAAATCCAACCAATGCTCCGTTCAGCAAAGGACAAGAGGGATCCTCTCACCTCTGCAGGAGTCTACCATTGTATCCCATGCAGCTGTGGACAAGAAGTCTACATAGGGACCACCAAACGCAGCATTGCCCAAACACGAATCAAGGAACATGAAAGGCACTGCAGACTGCTTCAACCAGAAAGTCAGCCATAGCAGAGCACCTGATGAACCAACCTGGACACAGCATATTATTCGAGAACACAGAAATGCTGGCCACTCCAACAACCACCATGTCAGGCTACCCAGAGAAGCCATTGAAATATGCAAGCATGTAGACAATTTCAACAGAAAGGAGGAAACCATGGAAATGAACAAAATCTCGATACCAGTATTAAAAAAAACTCCAAAATTACAACAGCAAAACAACAGAGAGTAAACAATCAGGGACATCTAATCACTCTCAATAAAAGATTCCCCCCAGGCACTTCCAAGCCATTAAATGCTAATCAAGGTGGTCAGTTGAAACATTCAACTCCAGCAGACAAAAGTCCTTTGTCCCACCCTGGTCATTCCACAGATATACCATGTCAGGCGAAACGTCAGGAGAGAATGCCTCTAGAGGAGGGGTCCACAAACTTTTTAAACAGAGGGCCAGGTCACAATCCCTAAAACTGTTGTAGGGCCGGATTATAATTTGGAAAAAAAAAAAATGAAAGAATTCCTATGCACACTGCACATATCTTATTTGTAGTGCAAAAACAACTTTTAAACAATACAATAATTAAAATGAAGAACAATTTTAACAAATATAAGCTTATTAGTATTTCAATGGGAAGTGTGGGCCTGCTTTTGGCTGATAGGATAGGGTTGTTGTTGTTGTGTTCTTTCAAGTCATTTCAGACATAGGTTGACCCTGAGTGAGGGCCGGATAAATGACCTTGGAGGGCTGTAACCGGCCCCCGGGCCTTAGTTTGAGGACCTCTGCTCTAGACCATGGCCATATAGCCCGAAAAAACGTACAACAACCCAACCACCTCTGCCTCCCCTTCCCCATTTCTTTGTATTTTTGGAAATGAACTCTTAATGCAAGGAGGCATGTTCACAAGAAATACAGGAAAGGTTTTATTGGAGGATATCAGTTCTTGAAGGCAAAGAGAAGGCACCTGGATCCCAGCATCACATCCTCGGCCAGAACAGCCAGGCACAGCCACCAAAAGAGGGGCGCAGAGCTGGGGACACGGACCCTCCAGGTATGGACCCTCTGAACCCTCAAGAGCAACAGGGGCATTTGCATGGAGAGACCCACCAGAGGATGATAGGCCAGGCAGGTGGGCATGTTCCCCAGGAAAAGCAACTGTGCTGCTGCCTCCGAAGCCACCAACACTCTCCAAAATGTGTCCACACAATGCTCTGGATGCCAGGCAAGTGACAACAATGTGTGCTGATAGATCTCCCGGAAGGACAAGGGCAGATATCACCCCACCAGCAGGAGGTCCACACCTGGAGGGAGGTTGCTCCTCCCAAGGCACAAAGAGGGCTGGAGACAGCAGCGGGAAAGGTATCCTAGGGTCCCCCCGGGAAGAGGCCCTCTCCTTACTTCCTCTTGTACCTGCAGAAGAAGGAGAGGAGATGAACAGAGGGAACACTTCAGTCCCCTGGAGGCAGTGCCAATAAGAATAGGGGGTCCTCCTCCATGAAAAAGGGAAGCAGGGGCCTCACCTGGAGCGAGACTTGAAGTTCCCTCCCTTCTTCCGGACCAGTCCCAGGCGCTTGCGGTCATCGAAGGAGGGCCTGCGGAAGGGAGCGGTCAGTGTCAGGAAAAGGCAGCAGAGACCCCACTGCCTGAGTCGGGGTGCCATTTCCTCAAAGGGGAACCCCAAAAGCCAATCGATTCCCCTTGGAACCTGCTTTCTCTCAGCAGGTTCCAAGCTCAGGATCCTTCCTTCCTTCCTCCCTCTCTTCCTTCCTTCCTCCCTCCCTCTCTCTCTTCCTTCCTCCCTCCCTCCCTCCCTCCCTCTCTTCCTTCCTTCCTCCCTCCCTTCTCTCTCCTCCTCCTTCCTTTTCCTTCTTCCTCCTCCTTCTTCCTTTCCTTCCTTCTTCCTTTCCTTCCTCCCTCTCCTTCCTTTCCTTCCTTCTTCCTCCCTCTCTTCCTTCCTCCCTCCCTCTCTTCTTCCTTCCTTTCCTTCCTCCTCCCTCTCTTCCTTCCTCCCTTCTCTCCTTCCTCCTCCCTCCCTCCCTCTCTTCCTTCCTTCCTTCCTTCCTTCCTTCCTTCCTCCTCCCTCCCTCTCTTCCTTCCTTCCTTTCCTCTCCTTCCTTCTTCCTTCTCTTCCTTCCTTCCTTCCTTCCTTCCTTCCTTCCTTCCTTCCTTCCTTTCTTCCTTCCTCCCCTCCTTCCTTCCTCCCCTCCTCCCTTCCTCCCTCCCCTTCCCTTCCTTCCTTCCTTCCTCCTCCCTCCCTTCCCTCCCTCCCTCCTCCCTTCTTCCTTCTCCCTCCTCCCTTCCTTCCTTCCTTTCCTTCCTTCCTTCCTCCCTTCTCTCTTCCTCCCTCTCTCCCTTCCTTCCTCCCTTCTCTTCCTTCCTTCTTCTTCCTTCCTTCCTTCCTTCCTTCCTTCTTCCTTCCTTCCCTCTTCCTTCCTTTTCCTTCCCTTCCTCCTCCTCCTCTCTCCTTCCTCCTTCCTTCCTACCTCCCTTCCTTCCTCTCCTTCTCCTTCCTCCTCCCCTCTTCTTTCCTCCTCCCTCTCTCCCTGAAGGAAAACCCCATCTTGGGTTTTGTTGTTTTTTTTTTTGTCATGTCAGGAGCAACTTGAGAAACTGCAAGTCGCTTGAGGGCTGAGAAGGGCGGTATACAAATATAGTAAGTATGTATGTATGTATGTACACACACACATACACGCACGTAGGACAAGGGACACTTGGACTGAAAGCGGTCCATGAGAAAGGGAGCTAGGAGTCTGAGTTGACCACAAGCTGAACACGAGCCAAGGGTGTGATGCGGCAGCTAAAAAAGCCAATATTTTAGGCTGCAGCAATTGGAGCATAGTGTCTAGAACAGGGGTTCCCAACCTTTTTGTTTTTAACCAGGGATCACTTTTGTTACAAGAGTTACACATCCATTTTTGGTCAACTTTAGATTTGGTTTGGTTATTTGGGGTGCTGATTCAGAAAATTGCACTGGACAGACCACATCAGCTCTAGTTTCTGATACAGAACATATGCCATCCATTTCTTTTTTGTCGTGTCAGGAGTAACTTGCTTCTGGTGTGAGAGAATTGGCCGTCTGCAAGGCTGTTGCCCAGGGGACGCCTGGATGAATTGATGTTTCTATCATCCTTGTGGGAGGCTTCTCTCATGTCCCCGCATGAGGAGCTGGAGCTGATAGAGGGAGCTCATCCGCCTCTACCTGGATTCGACCCTGCGACCTGTCGGTCTTCAGTCCTGGCAGCATAGGGATTAACCCACTGCGCCACTGGGGGCTCTTGGGTGGGAAGGAGAGAGAGCAAAGGGGACGTTGGGGGCTCGCTCATATTCACCCAGCGCGGTACTGCTTCAGAGCCTTCCTGTTCGTGTTGGTGAGCTCCTCGTCAAAGACGGACGCCTTCTTGCGCTGCTGCTTGGATCCTGCAAGAACAGAGGAGAGCCCGTCAGAAGTCCTGGTGGGTCTCCAGCAGAGAAGAAGGCTGCCTCCTGCCCTCAGCCCCACATCTGGAAGGTCCCCCCAAAGGAAAGGCAGGCAGGCAGGCAGGAAGGGTCGGTCGGTCCTTCCTTCCTTCCTTCCTTCCTTCCTCTCCTTCCTCTCTTCCTTCCTTCCTCCTCCTCTCTCTTCCTCCCTCCCTCCTCCCTCCCTCTCTTCCTTCCTTCCTTCCTCCCTCCTTCCTCTTCCTTCCTTCCTTCCTTCCTCCCTCCCTCTCTTCCTTCCTCCCTCCCTTCCTCTCCCTTCCTCTTCCTCCCTCCTCCCTTCCCTCTCTCCTTCTTCCTTCCTTCCTTCCTTCTCCTTCCTTCCTCTTCCCCCTTCCCCTTTTTCTCTCTTCCTTCCTTCCTCCCTTCCCTCTCTTCCTTCCTCTCCTCCCTCCTTTTCCTTCTCCTCCTCCCTTCCCTTCCTCCTCCTCCCTCTTTCCTTCCTCCCTTTCCTTTCTTCTCCCTCCCTCCCTCCCTCTCTTCCTCCCTCCCTCTCTTCCCCTCCCCCCTCCTTCTCTCTTCCTTCCTTCCTCCCCTTCCTCCTCTTTTCCTCCCTCCCTCTCTTCCTCTCTCCCTCCCTCCTCTCTTCCTTCCTTCCTTCCTCCCTCCCTCTCTTCCTCCTTCCTTCCTTCTTCCTCTCCTTCCTTCCTCCCTCCCTCCCTCCCTCCTCCCTCCCTCCTTCCTCCCTTCCCCTTCCTCCTCTCCTCTCTCGATCCTTCCTTCCTCCCTCCCTCTCTCCCTTCCTTCCTTCCTTCCTTCCTTCCTTCCTTCCTTCCTCTCTTCTTCCTCTCCCTCCCTCCCTCTCTCCCTTCCTTCCTCCCTCCTCTTCCTCCTCCTCTCTTCCTTCCTTCCTTCTCCCTCCTCTCCCTTCCTTCCTCCCCTCCTCCCTTCCTTCCTCCTTCTCTCCTTTCTTCCTCCCTCCTCCCTTCCCCTCCTTCCCTTCCTTCCTTCTCCCTCTCCTTCCCTCTCTCCTTTCCCTTTCCTTCCTTCCTTCCTCCCTTTCCTTCCTTCCTTCCCTCTCCTCTCTCCTTCCTTCCTCCCTCCCTTCCTCCCCTCTTCCTTCCTTCCTTCCTTCCTCCCTCCCTCTCTTCCTTCCTTCCTTCCTTCCTTCCTTCCTCCCTCCCTCCCTCTCTTCCTTCCTTCCTTCCTTCCTTCCTTCCTTCCTTCCTTCCTTCCTTCCTTCCTTCCTCCCTCTCTTCTTCTTCTCCCTCCCTCTCTTCCTTCCTTCCTTCCTTCCTCCTTCTCCCTCTCCTTCTCTTCCTTCCTTCCTCCCTCCCTCCCTCTCTTCCTCCCTTCCCTCCCTCCTCTCCTCTCTCCTTCCTTCCTTCCTCCCTCCCTCCCTCTCCTTTCCTTCCCTCCCTCTCCCTCCCTCCCTTCCTTCCCCTCTCTCCTTTCTTCCCACCTGCCCCCTTCTGTGTGGATGGCGCCTCTTCCGGCAAGGCCCTGGCTCTCTGGGGCCGGCGGCTCCGCTTGGCCTGCCGCTCCGCGTACATCTGGGCCTTCAGGATCTCAAACTGGGCCCGTTCCTCCGGCTGAGAAGAGAAGAGGACAAGAGTGGGCTGAAATTCTATCACACACACCCCTGTTGCACTCCAATTATTTATTTATTTATTTAATTCGGTTGCTTCTACCCCGCCATTCTCACCCCGGAGGGGACTCAGGGCGGCTTACAAAAGCAAGGCACAATTCGATGCCCGCATCACATAACTGTAGTAACACAAAATAACATCAATTAACAATTAACAACAATTCTTGCGTTACAACCATAAAACCAATACAAACCAATTTCTCCTCATTGACGCTCAGCGTTCGCTATCTCATAGTTCAAATTCCAATTCCACAATTGTCAGTCCTGTCAGTCCTATCCATCTGGTTGTCCATATCTAGTTGTCAGATTGCCCAAAGGCCTGGTCCCACAACCACATCTTTACCTTCCTCCTAATTTCCCCCGGGAGTGAGTTCCACAGGTGAGGGGCCACCACCGAGAAGGCCCTGCTCCTCATCCCCACCGACCTCACTTGTGATAGCTGTGGGGTCAAGAGCAGGGCCCCCCCAAATGATCTCAAATTCCGGGGTGGGACGTAGAGGGAGATACGTTCGGACAGATACACTGGACTCCAAGGCTGGGAACCTCCTCTGTACTTAACACACACTCCAGGCCAAGGTAAAACAGCAAAGCAGGTTATTGAAGAATATATATATATACTAGCCATCCCCTGCCACGCGTTGCTGTGGCCCACATGGGGGTCCTGTGTGGGAGGTTTGGCCTAAATCTATCATTGGTAAGATTCAGAATGCTCTGTGATTGTAGGTGAACTATAAATCCCAGCAACTACAACTCCCAAATGTCAAGATTCTGTTTTCCCCAAACTCCACCAGTGTTCACATTTGGGCATATTGAGTATTCATGTAGAGTTTGGTCCAGATCCATCATTGTTTGAGTCCACAGTGAACTACAACTCCAAAACCCAAGGCCAATGCCCACCAAACCCTTCCAGTTGGTCATGGGAGTTCTGTGTGCAAAGTTTGGTTCAATTCCATCGTCTTGACTTTTGTACGCTCTCCTGAGAAGCCCTATGTTGACGGAACATATATCTCCTATCTAACTGCTCATAAGACTGACCGCCTGGACTTTCCTTTCCCTCCTCTGAGTTCAGATCTGCTCCTGACCTGGCTTCCCTAGCAAACTGCCTTTCAGGAATGTGGCCTTCAGAAACAGACTGCTCATTTTCAGGGCTTAAAATCTCTTGCGGGCTCCTCTGCTGACTTGCAGATCGAGAATTCCCAGTGCCATCAGAATGACGGACAGGCCCAGAATTCCCAGAGAGATCGGGTGCAGGCATAATCAAAGGCTGGACTGCAACAACCCCCAACACACACACACACACACAACCCCTATGTGCTTGTATCCCAAGGGCTGGCCTCTCACCGTTGGCTGGGCCTTCTTCTGAGAGTCCGTCATGAACTTCTTCCTCTTCTTCTTGCCTCTCATGGCCAGGTCAAACTCCTGAAGGGCCTTGGTCACTGGGGGGGGGGGGGGGGAAGAAAGGTCAGGTTAATCCAGTATCAGACTCCTGCCTGGGCAACCCAGACCACAACTGGACTGGACAACCCAGTTCCCCCCTCTCCGGCCAACTCCTTACGCTTTTCCTTCTTCCGCTCTTCTTTGCTCTGGAACCAGCTGCGGGGTCCACTCTGCGGCGCCTCTGGAGCTTCCGCCTCCAGTTTCCGCTTGGCTGTGTTAATCTGCAGGGGAAACAGAGGGGAAACGGTGGGCAGGACAGCCACTCTCACTCCTCTTAGACTCCCACTAAAGAGGAGCAAAGCAGTCCCACCTGTGGCTCACCAAGAAAGACAGAGAAGGGAGCTCCTATAAAAATGGCAGCGGCCGAGGAAATTCCCAGGGAAATTGAAGGACCGGGTTGTGGCGCAGCTGGTTGGGAGTCAACTGCATTAAAATGAATCCCACGGGAGCACTGCAGCGCACCCAAATCCCTGGGAGTCACTCTGGACCGTGCTCTGACCTACAAGAAGCACTGCCTGAACATCAAGCAAAAAGTGGGTGCTAGAAACAATATCATACGAAAGCTGACTGGCACAACCTGGGGATCACAACCAGACACAGTGAAGACATCTGCCCTTGCGCTATGCTACTCTGCTGCTGAGTACGCATGCCCAGTGTGGAACACATCTCACCACGCTAAAACAGTGGATATGGCTCTTAATGAGACATGCCGCATTATCACGGGGTGTCTGCGCCCTACACCACTGGAGAAATTACACTGCTTAGCCGGTATTGCACCACCTGACATCTGCCGGGAAGTAGCAGCCAATAGTGAAAGGACCAAGGCAGAGACATCTCCAGCTCATCCCTTGTTTGGGTATCAGCCAGCATGTCAACAACTTAAATCAAGAAATAGTTTTCTAAGATCTACAGAGACACTCGCTGGAACACCTCAGCAAGCGAGAGTCCAAAAGTGGCAGGCTCAAACCCAGAACCTCAACCCATGGCTGATACCAAATGAGAGACTCCCCCCTGGGCACACAGAGACTGGGCGACTTGGAAGGTGCTGAACAGACTGCGCTCTGGCACCACGAGATGCAGAGCCAACCTCAAGAAATAGGGCCACAAAGTGGAATCCTCGACATGCGAGTGTGGAGAAGAGCAAACCACTGACCACCTGCTGCAATGCACCCTGAGCCCTGCCACATGCACAATGGAGGACCTTCTTGCAGCAACACCAGAAGCACTCCAAGTGGCCAGATACTGGTCAAAGGACATTTAATCAACTACCAAGCTTGCAAATTCTGTGTTTTGTCTGTCTGTTTGTTTTTTGTTAAAAATGTAATACAAATGTCTGGTTGCTGATGACACGATAAATAAATAAACTGCATTAAAATCACTACTGACCGAAAGGCCCTGAGTTCGAAACCAGCCCAGGTTGGAGTAAGCTCCCAACCATTTGTCTAGCTTGCTGTCAACCTCTGCAGCCCAAAAGATAGTTGCATTTGTCAAGTAGGAAATTTAGGTACTGCTTATGCAGGGAGGCTAATTTAACTAATTTACGATGCCATAAAAATCTCCTGCAGCGTGCAAAAGAATGAGGAAGTACTCCATCGGTGTCACAAGTAGACGGTGAAGTGACAGCTCCCCCAGTGGCCGGAATTCAAAAAGCATACCCTCATGAAGCTGGTCTCTGTGTGTCTGTCTATATATGTTGTGTGTCTAGACCAGGGGCCCACAAACTTTTTCAACAGAGGGCCAAAGGTCACAGTCCCTCAAACTGTTGGAGGGCCGGATTATAATTTGAAAAAAAATAATGAATTCCTATGCACACTGCACATATCTTATTTGTAGTGCACAAAACACTTAAAAAAACAACAATAATTAAAATGAAGAACAATTTTAACAAATAAACTTATTAGTATTTGGAAGTGTGGGCCTGCTTTTGGCTGATGAGATAGGACTGTTGTTGCTGTTGTAATGTGCTTTCAAGTCATTTCAGGCTGACCCTGAACGTGGGCCGGGTAAATGACCTTGGAGGGCCACATCCGGCCCCGGGCCTTAGTTTGAGGACCACTGGTGTAGACCTTGGGAAGTCCTGCTCCCCATGCTCTATTCCGCCTTGGTTAGACCACTTTACCTGGAATATTGTGTCCAATTCTATGGCCACTTGGAGTGCTTCTGGTGTTGCCGTAAGATGGTCCTCCCTTGTGCATCATGTGGCAGGGCTCAGGGTGCATTGCAGCAGGTGGTCAGTGGTTTGCTCCTCTCCGCACTCGCATGTTGTGGATTCCACGTTGTGGCCAAATTTCTGAAGGTTGGCTCTGCATCTCGTGGTGCCAGAGCGCAGTCTGTTCAGCGCCTTCCAAGTCACCCAGTCTTCTTCTGTGTGCCCAGGGGGGAGTCTCTCATTTGGTATCAGCCATTGGTTGAGGTTCTGGGTTTGAGCCTGCCACTTTTGGACTCTTACTTGCTGAGGTGTTCCAGCGAGTGTCTCTGTAGATCTTAGAAAACTATTTCTTGATTTAAGTTGTTGACTTGCTGGCTGATACCCAAACAAGGGATGAGCTGGAGATGTCTCTGCCTTAGTACTTTCGCTATTGGCTGCTACTTCCCGGCAGATGTCAGGTGGTGCAATACCAGGTAAGCAGTGTAATTTCTCCAGTGGTGTAGGGCACAGACACCCCGTGATAATGCGGCATGTCTCATTAAGAGCCATATCCTGGCTTTAGCCTATAAAGCCCTACACGGTTCCGGCCCCACCTACCTCTCCGAACGCATCTCCACCTACGAACCGGCGAGGACCTTAAGATCGTCCGGGGAGGCCCTGCTCTCGGTCCCGCCAGCGTCACAAGCGCGGTTGGCGGGGACGAGAGACAGGGCCTTCTCGGTGGTGGCCCCTCGGCTATGGAATGCCCTACCAGTGGACATCAGGCAGGCCCCTTCGTTGCTGGTGTTTCGGAGGAGGGTTAAGACGTGGCTCTATGAGCAGGCATTTGGACAACTATGCAATGACAACTAACTCAGTAAGACGGCATTGAACAAGGAACGAAAAAGGACTATGAGAACGGGATCTGATTCTAATTGAGGCGTTGATGATTATATGTGTGTTGTTTGTGTATGTGTGTCTTATATATTGTCAGTGTTGCTTATTTATTGTAAACCGCATTGAGCCGTCGCAGGCTGATATATGCGGTATACAAATGGAGTAAATAAAATAAATAAATAAATAAATAAATTCTGGGCACCACAGTTCAAGAGAGATATTGACTCTAAGCTGGAATGTGTCCAGAGGAGGGCGACTAAAATGATCAAGGGTCTGGAGAACAAGCCCTATGAGGAGCGGCTTAAGGAGCTGGGCATGTTTAGCCTGAAGAAGAGAAGGCTGAGAGGGGATATGATGAGGGCCATGTATAAATATGTGAGAGGAAGCCACGGGGAGGAGGAGGAGGGAGCAAGCTTGTTCTCTGCTTTCCTGGAGACTAGGACACAATGGAGGAATGACGCGGAACAATGGCCTCAAACTACAAGTTTGTGCCCCCAAATGATTTTTGGAACTGTGAAGAAGGCTCCACTTCTCCTCGCTCGTGCTGTCCATCTTTCCCCTCTTGGGGTGCAGACCATGCAAAGCCCCCCTTCCAGAGGCCCCTCCCTCTGCTCACCTGGGCCTCCGAGCGTTGCAGCGCCCGCTCCTCCTGCTCCAGGCGCAGCACCGCATAGATGTCCGGTTCCAGCTTCTCAATCTTCTCCCGGAAGCGCAGGATCACGTCTGGAGGCCACACCAGAGACACCATTGAAAAGCTGGACCACCCCAAGATCCTCCCTCCCTCCCTCCTACTCCCCCCCCCCCCGCCTTTCACTGTCACTTGACCATACCTTGAGGCAGGACGCGGGCCTTGACGGGTGCCTTGGCGGCCTTGACGATCTCCTTCAGCATCTTGCGCTCCTCCTCCCCCACCAGGGAGACCGAGCGGCCGGCGCGACCTGCCCGAGCCGTGCGCCCCACGCGGTGGACGTAGTGCTTGGTGGTGTTGGGCATCGTGAAGTTGATCACCTGCAAAGGAGGAAAAGGAAGGACGCTGACCAGGAAGAATGCGAGGGGGGGGGGTCTGGAGAAGGGACACCAACTTGGATAATGTTGGAGTTCAGCCTGTGATTGTGTCTAATGATCAGGGTTCTCTGGATGTTGGGAGTGACAATGAGGTTCATGTCTATGATGATGAGGTTGCTCCAGATGCAGAGAACGACAATGGGATTCTTGTTCAAAGTGAGTTTTCTGATGAGAATGTTCCTGAAGGGTTTGGGGGTGATGGTTTGTTTCCTGGGCCTGAGTTGCTACCAAAGGAATTCCCAAGGCTTTGAGCCTGAGAAAGAATCAAACAATACACTTAGCACATGAATCTCTCCAAAGCAAGGCTTCCAGGGAACTGAGACGATACCTTGACTCAAGTCCAACGTTGCTTCGTCTGGCTAGAGATTCTGAACTTGGCACTTTTATCCCCTAATCTACACTATATCCCCAGCGGCCATGAACGGATTTCTTTTTGGCTTTGACTCTGTTATCAATCTCTCTTGCCTGAGCACTTGATTTGTTTGTCTCTGCTGACTGAAAGAGTGAATGGCCATCTGTTAAGAGGGTTTGGCTTGTGCCTTCTTGCCTGGAAGGGGCTTCAAATAGATGGTCCTACTCTTGGATTCTATTCTGAGGGGTGGCAAGCTTGAAAAGGAGGAGGAGGGAGGGATGGACTCACTGTTTTGACTCCTTCGATGTCCAGCCCTCTGGCCGCCACGTCCGTGGCCACCAGCACATCGATCTGCTCGTCCTTGAAGCGCCTGCAGCGGAAAGAGGCTGCGTCAGAGGGACGCCTGGGCCATGTCTTCCTCTGCTGTCGCCCATCCCAACCCATGCTATACCCTCCCACTTACCGGAGGCCCTCCAGGCGCTGCGCCTGCGAGAGGTTCCCGTGGAGCTCCCCCACCCGCAGGCCCAGGAGGCCCAGGAGGATGTGGAGGCGGTGCGCCTGCTTCTTGGTCTGCGTGAAGAGCATCACGTGGTCGGCGAAGGTCCGGGTCAGGAGCGCTGTGGGGGGAGGGGGGGAGAGATGTCAGGGGACAGGAGGCACACAGCAGGGCACGTACGCATCACACACCGCCCTCCGAACGTGGGCCTGACCTGCCACAATGGCCTCCCGGTCCCCCTCACGGCTGGGTCGGATGCGCACAAACTCCTGCCGCAGGAAGGGTGCCACGTCTGTGTTGCTGTTCACAAAGATCCGGACAGGGTTCTTCAGGGAGACTGAGGCCAAGTCCTTCACCTGTTCAGGAAGTACAAAAGATATAGGTTGTGTGTATATGTATATATACACACACACATAGGACAGGGGACACTTGGATTGAAAGCGGTCCATGAGAAAGGGAGCTAGGAGTCTGAGTTGACCACAAGCTGAACACGAGCCAAGGGTGTGATGCGGCAGCTAAAAAAGCCAATATTTTAGGCTGCAGCAATTGGAGCATAGTGTCTAGAACAGGGGTTCCCAACCTTTTTGTTTTTAACCAGGGATCACTTTTGTTACAGTAAGTTGTAGCAGGACCACGTGTGTGTGTGTGTGTGTGTGTGTGTGTTGAAGAAAAACCTTATGATGGTAATTATTATGTGCAGCTGGTAATGTAGGTCAACCAGCAATCTTGGACCACACCCAATAGGGTATCAATGGAAGGGTTTTTAGAATACAGTTCTGGAGAGTTTTTTTCTTTGCAGAGATCTATTGTTGTGACTCAGCTGGAATCAGAGAGTGTTTCTGATGAGGATGATGGGATTCAGGTTCACAGGTCAGTTCAAAATGTCCCTGTTATAGACAGGGAAGAAGTGCAGTTTCCCACAGTAAGGCATGAGAGTGTTGATACTGAAAACAGCCAGGTGCAGTCTGACTCAAAGAAGAAGGAGAGCTCTCAGCCTGATGATGAGCAAGCAGGGAAACAGGCTAACGAACAGACTGACCTTGACGATATGGGAACTTTAGATTGGGCTGACCGGTTGGAATTCCAAATTCGAAGGAGTCAAAGACTAGCTAACAAGAGGGAGGCCAGAGGCCAGAGAAACGCCTTCATGATTTGCAAAGGGTATTAAACAGTGTGTTTGAGACCAGAGCGGTTCCCAGGTAATTGGGAATTACTGGTCTAGAAAGAAGGAGTCCCATTCTCTTCTGCTTTGGTCACCTGGAATAACAACCCTGTGTCCACTTCTGGGCAAAGCAACTCAAGGTGTAGATAGACAAAATGGAAGGTGACCAGAGAAGGGCCACCAAAATGGCCAAAGTTTTGGAAGCCAAGCTCTATGAGGGTCAGCCAAGGAAGCTTGGGGGGGGGGGGGTGTTATCTGTCTTGCCACTCAAAAAATTATCTCTCCTCCCCGAGCCCCCCCCCCCCCACTACAAAGAAGCCGCCCGCCCTCATCACCTCCTCCGTCATGGTGGCAGAAAAGAGCATCGTCTGGCGGTGGCGGGCACACAGGCGAATGATCTCCTTCATCTGCTCCTCAAAGTATTCGTCCAGCATCCTAGAAGCATAAAAACACAGGCTTGGAAGAGGCCCCAACGCAGTGTGCAGAGAAGGAGGAGCCCCTCCGTGTGAGAGTAGTGGCCCAAGGGGGCTGCTTATCTATACCTTGCAGTTCAAGCCCACCAAGCTATGGAAGGAAGGAGACCCCATGCCACCCTTTGACCTGGACCCCTGTCAGAAATATTAAAAATTAACTAGGTATTTTTGATTACAAAAGTGTGAGCCAAGCACTAAAAGAGTTAGTAGGCCGAAGCCTGTTAGAGGGTGTCAAAGCGGGTGTCGTCCTGAGGAGAGTGAGTAGGCTGAAGCCTGTTAGAGTTAGTGGGCCAAAGCTAGTGTCGTCCTGTGGAGTGTGAGGTAAACCTCTGTGTGAGAGAAGCCTCCTGTGGTAAAGCTCCAGCTGTGCGTAAAAAGCTACTGTGGGAAGGCTCCAGTGTGAAGGCTGCTGTGTGTAAAGCTACTATGTGTTAGAGTTCAGCCTGTGATTGTGTTTCAGGATCAGGGTAGTTTGGATGTGGGGAATGATGTTAATGAAGTTCAAGATGAGTTTCAAGATGGCAATGGTTTGGTCAGTGATATTGATGCAGAGAATGACCAGGAGATCCCTGTAGTTTCCCAGGAGAATGTCCCTGAGGGGTGTGGGGATGATGGTGTGCTTTCCAAATTGTTACCAGAGAGTTCTCATGAGAGGGAACATGAAAATAGCTTGGCACCTGCAGAAATTAATGAGCAAGTAGACAACGAGCCAAAAGATAGACGAGAAGAGTTCAGTCAAAACAGGAGAGCTGTGCAAAGGCTTAGACGCTCTGCCAGGCTTCGGCAGAAAACAATAACAAAGCCACAACTAAAGAGAAACCAATTTCTGACCGCTAGTGACCTAGCTAACGAGGGGATAAAAGTCTCAAGTTTGGGATGTGTAGTCAGACGAAGCATCATTTAGAATCATGCCAAGTTCTCATCCTTGTTTTATGGAAACTTTGCTTTGAAGTTTCATGCTAAGATATTTCTCGTTCATGGTTTTGGATTCCTGGATTTCACGATTGCTTACCCAAGCCTTGGATCAATGTATTCCTGATTTTCTGGATTGTTTTGGAAATGTCTGGACTTTGCTTTTATGAACGTCGCTGAACACTACCTTGGACTAATTTGTTTCTCCTTATAAAACTTATCTTCTTGCCCAATTGGATTTACCTATTTCTTTAAAGTGCTTTTTACTTTGCTGCTTTTCCCTTATCTTCAATGAAAGGATTGTTTTTTTCTATTCAACGTGTGGTGTTTAAAGTCAGAGGGTGATTCCTGTTCTGGAGTGCAACACTATGCGTTTGTTTATTTGTGCTGTGGAAACCTAGTTCTTGTAAATAGTGCAATCATATTATTTTACTACAAAGAAAAGCCTCCAAATGAAGAGATAGTAACATTGGTCTGTCACTTGTCACTTAGGGCTACCAGTGCTGTGTCATCCTGCTGCTCATAAGTTATTCTGCTGTACATTTATGGGGAGGGTCTTTTGTTAATAAGCCGACTCACTCAACAACCCTCCCCCCTACACACAGACACACACACACACACAAAGGCCCTGCTATCCAGGTCATGACCTGCTCTGGATGCCCCCTTCTCTCACCTGTCAGCCTCATCCAGGATGAGGACCTCGATGCTGCCCAGGTGGAAGGAGGGGCAGTTGTGCAGGTGGTCAATCAGGCGGCCGGGGGTCGCAATGAGGATGTCTGGTCCCGAGCGGAGAGCGGCCTCCTGGGTCTTGAGGTCCAGGCCACCTGAAAGGGGCAACACACAGGGATCACAGACTGAACAAGAATTGGATGGGGGGCCCAGAAGCCATCTAGTCCAGCCCAATTCTGCCAGGCAGGAAGGCATAACAGAAGCTCCCATAACACTTACAGTGATGATTTAGACTTATCTGTTCCAGTAAGAGCCTCTGGTGGTACAGTGGGTTAAACCCTTGTGCCAGCAGGACTGCTGACTCACAGGTCAGTGGTTCGAATCAGGAGAGAGTGGGTTGAGCTCCCTCTGTCAGCTCCAGCTCCCATGAGAGCTGAGAGAACATGAGAGAAGCCCCCCACAAGGATGGTAAAACATCAAACATCCGGGCGTCCCTTTGGCAACATCCTTGCAGACAGCCAATTCTCTCACATCAGAAACGACTTGCAGTTTCTCAAGTCGCTCCTGACAGACAGCCAATTATCTCACATCAGAAACGACTTGCAGTTTCTCCTGAAAGATGCTCACCCAACCCACCCTGTTGTCTCCTGTGACAAAGAACCACAAAGGGAAGGAAGCAATGCTGGATACCAATAACAAGGCTCTAAAGGCCCCTGTCTGATGCCTTTGGAAGCAGGGAAGGACACAGATATCTTCACTAAACCAATAGAGGCAGAAGGGTCACTCACCCACTGCCAGGCTGGACGTGATGCTGCAGAACTGGGCCAGCTGCTTGGTGACGGCATGCACCTGGATGCCCAGTTCTCGGGTGGGAACCAGCACCAGGACCCTCGTGACCGGCGCCTGGCGGGGCTTGTAGATCAGGCGTTCCAGCACCGGGAGCATAAAGGCTGCCGTCTTGCCTGCGAGGGAGGCGCCGGAAGGCAGATCAGCACATGCCACCCCTCCCAAGGCTTTGTCCTCACCCAAAAACACACCTTGCCCCTCTTACCTGTCCCTGTGGCTGCGCACGCACAGATGTCCTTCCCCAGCAGCCCCACTGGGATGCAGGCCTTCTGGATGGGGGTCGGCTGCTTGAAGCCCAAGGCAGATATCGCCTGACAATAGGAAAGCAAGGGAGGGGACTCCGGCATGAACCAAAACAGGAAGCACCACTCTGACTCTACAGCTGAAGCTTCCACACCTCCTTTGCAAAGGATGCTCCCTCCTTCACCTGGTTCCCTCTCTTATGGCAGCAATGGCAGTTTACACCAGTCCACCCTTTACACCTGCCCGCATTTTACACTGGCATGCGTGTAAAATACCTCAACGTGTGCTTGACAGTATTTCCTGCCCAGTTTACTGTATTGTTGCACTGCGCTCCTGTAAAAATGTATTGCACTCATTGAATCTGTACCTCAGCTATGTTTCTTTCCGCCATACTGTTTTTATACCGCTTTCAATTGTGTTGGTATTTGTTTTATCTAATGTTTTAATTGGTTAAAGTGTTTTACATTTGTGGTTTAATTGTAATCTTGGGCATGTCCCTTGTAAGCCACCCTGAGTCCCCTAAGGGAGATGGTTGGCGGGGTATAAAAATGAAGTTGTTATTATTATTATTATTATTATTATTATTATTATTATTATTATTATTACGACAGCTGCTGATTTGTGTCCCGTGCCATGCTGCCCACCCTTCAGGCATTTGCGTTTTCTGCCAGTGGATGCTTGCCATAGATGCAGGCGAAACGTCAGGAGACAATGCCTCTAGAACATGGCCATATAGCCCGAAAAAACCTACAACAACCCAGTGATTCCGGCCATGAAAGCCTTCGACAATATAATAAAGATATTGTACTATGCTAATAATATAATATATTGTATGCCTATATATCTTGTAAGCTGCTCTGAGTCCCCTTTGGGGTGAGAAGGGCAGCATATAAATGTAAATAAATAAATAAGCACAAAAACGATGGCACAAGTACAATCAACAGCTCATAAAAATCCCATTGATAAAATCACAAAACTTTGAAAACCATAAAATTCCTAAAAAGCAGTGGAACCTGCGGGCCAGCTATCTATCACAACAATCCATCAATTCATCACATTGGCCATGGATTACTCAGGACCAAAGGCCTTTCTGAAGAGCCTGAAGTGAGGGGACTCATCTCATTTCCTCAGGGAGGATATTCCAGAGCCAGGGAGCCACCACTGAGAAGGCCCTCTCTCTCAACCCCACCAACAGTGCTTGAGACAGTGGTGGGACCAAAGAAGGACCTCCCCAGCAAATCTTAATGCCCGCGCTGGTTTGTAGAAGCTTTCAGACACAAGTTTCCATTTACACAGTCACAATATATGTAATATTATATTGAGATTATATGTATTGACATATAATCACAGTGCCCCGTATTCTCATCCTCCTCCCCAAAGAAAAAGCATTTAAGTGGCAGGATACCTTCAGCAAAGGCCGGGAGAGGTTCATGTCCTGGAAGGAGAGGCTGTCGTCGTACTGAGAAGCATCTTCCCCAAAACACAGCTCTTCTGCCTAGAAAACCGAACCAAGGAAACCAAGGGAGGGGGGCAAGAGAGAACCAGAAGCCTGTCAGCTAAAGGAGGGTGTTTTGGCCTTCGGCAAGAGTCCACTCCCAACACACACTTCCAGGGGAGGCTTCAATGGGAGGGGAAAGCCCTGGCTGCCCACACTTCAGGAGCTCACCTCTTCGCCGCCTCGTTTCCGCTTCCGCCGCTGTTTCAGTTTGAGTGTATCTACAAAAGGCACCAAAGGACCACCATCAAACCTTTCAGCCACAATGTCACAGAATGATAGAATCATGGGAACTCTCTGGCAGCAATTCAGGGAGCACACCATCATTTCCACACCCTTCAGGGACATTCTCATGGGAAACTATACTTTGAACAGGGATCTCCTGGTCCTTCTCTGCATCAATATCATTGACCAAACCATTGCCATCTTGTACCTCATTGGCATCACTCCCCACATCCAAAGCACCCTGATTCTGAAACACAACCACAGGCTGAGCTCCTGACTCCAGGACATGCACAACCTGCCGCCTTCCCATGACCCTCCTTACCCGCTTTGGCAAAGAGGCTCTCGTCTGCTGAGGAATACTCTGACTCCTCCTCTTCCTCTTTCCCTTCCTCCTCCTCATCCTCGCTGTTTGCCTTCTCCTCATCCTCCTGGTCCACTTTTTCATCCACCTGCTTCGCTGAGCCCAGTTTGGTCTGCTTCTCCTAAAGAAATGCTGGTCAGTCTGGCATTTGCTCTGCCCAAACCCCTGACCCCTGGGGCTTCCCAGCGCCCTTATCTTGAAAAGATCATTGCAGATTGGATAAATGTGGATTTGAAATGATGTGTGGGAATGGATGAAAGTATGGAAGATGTATGGATGGAGTTAATAATTTTGGAAGGACCAATAAAATATTAAGGCCTGCAACAACAAACTTACCTGATTGCTGGACTGTAATTAAAAGTTATTAGTAAGAACTGAAAAGTAAATTCTGATAACAACTGGACAGTGATAAGATCAATGCTTACAATGTTATGAAGGAAGTCAACATAAGATCAACACCAATCAAGAAGAATCAACATCTGGCCAGGAAACTGAGATGGAGCCAGGATGGAAGATGTCTATCATGAATTTACAACTTTGGGACTACATCAACAAAATATTTCTATAAAAGACTCAGTCTAATAATGCTCACAGGAGACCAAATCTTCCTGCAAGACCAGTGCTTTTAAATTGAGATCGCATTAGCATTGGTGGTTTAATCTTTATTCTACATATACAGGCATTCCCCCAAGTTACAAATAAGAAGAGACGGATCATCTTCATTCTAAGAGGCCTGTTTGTGAGTATGATGGAGTGTATGAAATGAATGGATGAGAGTTCTCTCTTGATGTGATCCTAATCCATAAATGTTACATGAAAAGTGGCAAAACCAAATTTGGTCTCTGAAGTGTCTCATTGATCTAACATACATCACTATTCCTTGAACACTCTGCATCAAAAGAACAGGAACCATTTAGGTTCATGACAGAACCAAGTAGGAAATAATAACATTTATAATCCAGGAACAAAAAAAAAGTGTCACAGTTAATGAAGCCCCATCTCCCTCACCTGGTCCCTCCTCCTCTTCCTCACGGCCGCGATCTTCTCGTCGAGGCTGGTGGCTGATTTCTAGGAGGAGGAGAAGCGGTGAGAGAGGGCAGGCCGCCACAGAGGTCCCGACTCTCCCTGAGGTGCCTTCCTTCCCTTCCCCTCCCCCCCCCCACACCACCCCGAGGGGAAGCCAGACTTTACCTTCTTCCGCAGCATCTGCCCCAGCGCCTCGGCCCAGCTCCCGCCTCCTGCTGCAAAGGCAGCCTCCTTCTCAGCAAAGATGAAGCCCAAGGCAAAGTCTCCCCCTCCGCGGTGCCTGCGAGGCCCAGGCCTGGCCAGACCCCCCTCTTCTTCCTGAAAGGATAGGAAGGAAGGATGGATAAACAAAATGTGAAAGGAAGAGAGAAGCCGCATTAACTTAGTATAGTGCAGGCCTGGCCCAACATCGACCCTCCCTCCAGGTGTTTTGGACTTCAACTCCCACAGTTTCTAACAGCGTCAGGCCCATGTTTGCCCATGCCTGGTCTAAGATGATGACCATCCTGCCTTGGATTGGATCAATAATTATAACTTGTAGCCAAGTGGGTTTCAAAGCCACCAAGGAAGGCTTCAGCATGTCCATCCAGGCTCAAGTCCTGGCCCAGTTGTCGTCCGCAGCCTGGTTTCTCCTCTTTCCTCTCTGAACCAGGACAGACGGACACAGAAGCGTATTCTGCGTCAGTGATGTCAAAGGCAACGTCCAGATTTTCATGTCAACAGATGTGGGGATGAATGAGGTTTTCAATGTCCATGGCTATATCAGTAAGCAGTAGCAAGCCAGAGCATATAGGGTCTAAAAAGGATGATCCTTGAGTTGCAGAAGGTTGAGCCCCACATTGTCAATAGTTCAATCTACCATGGCTCGATGTGCCCAATTCACTGGATGATGGGATGTCCCGTCACTAGTTAGACAAGAGGGACCAGTGAAGACTACAGTTTATGCTCATGACAAGCCCTATCAGGACAAGAGAGGCTGAAAGAGCTGGGCATGTTTAGCCTGCAGAAGAGAAGGAGGAGAGGAGACACGATGAGGGCCAGTGATCAAGGTGTGAGGGGAATATGTCCTAGGGAGGAGGGAGCAGGCTTCCTTTCTGCTGCCCTGGAGACAAGGACGCAATGGAACCATGGCTTCAAACTACAGGAAAGGAAGGAGATTCCTCCTGAATCACTGCTGATAGTTGTTCAACAGTGAAGCTCTCTCTCTTCCCTGGAGTGTGGTGGAGGCTCCTTCTTGGAGGCCTTCTTGGATGGCCATCTGTCAGGGAGGAAGGCTTTGAATGGGATTTTCCTTCTTTTTGGAAGAAGGTTGGACTGGGTGGCCCACGAGGTTTCTTCCAACCCTAGGATTCTATGACTCTTGGGCAGAGAAGGCTAAAGACCTTGCAAAAAAGGCATGATCATCAAGTTTGCAGATGACACCAAATTGGGAGGGAGAGCCAAGACTCCAGGAGCAGGATTCAAAACGATCTTGACAGATTAGAGATGATGGGCCAAAACTCACACAGTGAACAGGGACAAATGCAAGAGACTCCACTTTGGCAGGAAAAACGAAATGCAAAGATACAGAATGGGGGACGATGAGGCCTGGCTCGAGAGCAGGACGTGTGAAAAGATCTTGGAGTCCTCGTGGACAACAAGTTAAACATGAGCCAACAATGTGATGTGGCGGCAAAAAAAGCCAATGGGATTTTGGCCTGCATCAATAGGAGCATAGTGTCTAGATCTAGGGAAGTCATGCTCCCCATGCTCTATTCCGCCTTGGTTAGACCACTTTACCTGGAATATTGTGTCCAATTCTGGGCACCACAATTCAAGAGAGATATTGACTCTAAGCTGGAATGTGTCCAGAGGAGGGCAACTCAAATGATCAAGGGTCTGGAGAACAAGCCCTATGAGGAGCGGCTTAAGGAGCTGGGCATGTTTAGCCTGAAGAAGAGAAGGCTGAGAGGAGATATGATAGCCATGTATAAATATGTGAGAGGAAGCCACAGGGAGGAGGAGGGAGCAAGCTTGTTTTCTGCTTCCCAGGAGACGAGGACGCAATGGCTTCAAACTACAAGAAAGGAGATTCCACCTGAACATGAGGAAGAACTTCCTGGCTGTGAGAGCCGTTCAGCAGTGGAACTCTCTGCCTTGGAGTGTGGTGGAGGCTCCTTCTTTGGAAGCTTTTAAGCAGAGGCTGGATGGCCATCTGTCAGGGGTGCTTTGAATGCAATTTCCCTGCTTCTTGGCAGAATGGGGTTGGACTGGATGATGGCCCAGGAGGTCTCTTCCAACTCTTCTAGGACTGTATGACTTTCACTCCACGTGGTTTCCTCCCCTTCTCCCTTTCTGATCCCTCCCAACGGCGGTCCCCCTGATGTTCCAATTGCGGCCTACCTCAGAAACGCCTCCCAACCTGCCTTGTTTGCCCGGACATCCCCCCCAGAGTCCGGGGTCCCCTGCTCACCTCGGACTCCGAGTCCGTCCGCTCCTCCTCGGCCATCCCTTCCTCCTCAACTCCGGCCTCATCCTGCTTCTGGCCGCTCAGCGCCATCGTGGTGGCAAAAAGGAAGTCCGGCACCGAAAAGGGTCCGGCGCCCGTCCGTCGCGCTCTCCTCCCCGGCCGGAAACAGAGCTGCAGCGAGTAGGTTCCGCCACCTCTCTGATTGGCGGGGAAGCACGGGGCGGGGCTTAAAATGCAAATCAGCTGAGTGGCCCCGCCTCAGGCTAAGAAGCAAAGGCAGGAAGTATGGAACTTGGACTCTCGTTATCTCCATCCAACCAAAATGAATTCGAAGCACTGTTTTTGTCCCTAATTTGTTCCTAATTGGCACTATCATAAAAAAATATTGCTAATCAAGGTGGTCAGTTGAAACATTCCCACCTAGCTCCAGCAGACAAGAGTCCTTTGTCCCACCCTGGTCATTCCAGGTCTGTTTCCTCTCTGTTGTTGTGCTGTTGTAATTTTAGAGTTTTTTAAATACTGGTAACGAGGACATCTAATCACCTCTCAACAAAAGATTCCCCCCAGGCACTTCCAAGCCATCACATGCTAATCAAGGTGGTCAGTTGAAACATTCCCACCTAGCTCCAGCAGACAAGAGTCCTTTGTCCCACCCTGGTCATTCCAGGTCTGTTTCCTCTCTGTTGTTGTGCTGTTGTAATTTTAGAGTTTTTTAAATACTGGTAACGAGGACATCTAATCACCTCTCAACAAAAGATTCCCCCCAGGCACTTCCAAGCCATCACATGCTAATCAAGGTGGTCAGTTGAAACATTCCCACCTAGCTCCAGCAGACAAGAGTCCTTTGTCCCACCCTGGTCATTCCATGTTTGTTTCCTCTCTGTTGTTGTGCTGTTGTAATTTTAGAGTTTTTTTAATACTGGTAACAAGGACATCTAATCACCTCTCTACAAAAGATTGCCCCAGGCACTGCCAGGCCATCAAATGCTAATCAAGGTGGTCAGTTGAAACATTCACACCTAGCTCCAGCAGACAAGAGTTCTTTGTCCCACCCTGGTCATTCCACAGATATATAAACCCATTTTCCTAGTTCCAACAGACCTCACTACCTCTGAGGATGCTTGCCATAGATGCAGGCAAAACGTCAGGAGAGAATGCCTCTAGAACATGGCCATATGGCCCGGAAAAACCTACAACAACCCAGCCTTCCAATCTCCTCTCAACAAAAGTTTGCCCCAGGCACTGCCGGGCCATCAAATGCTAATCAATGTGGTTGGTTGAAACATTCCCACTTAGCTCCAACAGACAAGAGTCCTTTGTCCCACCCTGGTCATTCCATGTTTGTTTCCTCTCTGTTGTTGTGCTGTTGTAATTTTAGAGTTTTTAAATACTGGTAACAAGGACATCTAATCACCTCTCAACAAAAGATTGCTCCAGGCACTGTCAGGCCATCAAATGCTAATCAAGGTGGTCAGTTGAAACATTCACACCTAGCTCCAGCAGACAAGAGTCCTTTGTCCCACCCTGGTCATTCCACAGATTTATAAATCCTTTTTCCTACTTCCAGCAGACCTCTAGCAAGAGGAAACAAACAAGGACATCTAATCACCTCTCAACAAAAGATTGCTCCAGGCACTGTCAAGCCATCAAATGCTAATCAAGGTGGTCAGTTGAAACATTCACACCTAGCTCCAGCAGACAAGAGTCCTTTGTCCCACCCTGGTCATTCCACAGATATATAAACCCTTTTCCTAGTTCAGAGAGTAAACAATCAGGCACATCTAATCACCTCTCAACAAAAGATTCACCCAGGCACTTCCAAGCCATCAAATGCTAATTAAGGTGGTCAGTTGAAACATTCACACCTAGCTCCAGCAGACAAGAGTCCTTTGTCCAGTCGAAACATTCCCACCTAGCTCCAACAGACAAGAGTCCTTTGTCCCACCCTGGTCATTCCATGTTTGTTTCCTCTCTGTTGTTGTGCTGTTGTAATTTTAGAGTTTTTTAATACTGGTAACAAGGACATCTAATCACCTCTCAACAAAAGTTTGCTCCGGCACTGCCAGGCCATTATAAGCTAATCAAGGTGGTCAGTTGAAACATTCACACCTAGCTCCAGCAGACAAGAGTCCTTTGTCCCACCCTGGTCATTCCACAGATATATAAACCCTTTTTCCTAGTTCCAACAGACCTCACTACCTCTGAGGATGCTTGCCATAGATGCAGGCGAAACGTCAGGATAGGAGACAAAGGACTCTTGTCTGCTGGAGCTAGGTGGGAATGTTTCAACTGACCACCTTGATTAGCATATAATGGCCTGACAGTGCCTGGAGCAAACTTTTGTTGAGAGGTGATTAGATGTCCTTGTTTGTTTCCTCTCTGTTGTTGTGCTGTTGTAATAGTGGTGTTTTTTTTAATACTGGTAACAATGACATCTAATCACCTCTCAACAAAAGTTTGCTCCAGGCACTGCCAGGCCATCAAATGCTAATCAAGGTGGTCAGTTGAGACATTCCCACCTAGCTCCAACAGACAAGAGTCCTTTGCCCCACCCTGGTCATTTTATGTTTTTTTCCTCTCTGTTGTTGTGCTGTTGTAATAGTAGAGTTTTTTAATACTGGTAACAAGGACATCTAATCATCTCTCAACAAAAGTTTGCTCCGGCACTGTCAGGCCATTGTATGCTTCCTCTTCATCCTGGAAAGAAGTGACGAACGGAGTGCCATCAGCAGGGTTCCGTCCTGGCCCCGGTCCTGATCAGGATCTTTATCAATGACTTAGATGAAGGGTTAGAAGGCAGGATCATCAAGTTTGCAGACGACACCAAATGGTGAGGGAGAGCTAAGACTCCAGAGGACAGGAACAGGATTCAAAACCATCTTGACAGATTAGAGAGATGAATGGCCAAAACTAACAAAATGAAGTTCAACAGTGACAAATGCAAGATACTCCACTTTGGCAGGAAAAACGAAATACAAAGATACAGAATGGGGGATGCCTGGCTCGAGAGCAGTACGTGTGAAAAAGATCTTGGAGTCCTCGTGGACAACAAGTTAAACATGAGCCAACAATGTGATGTGGCGGCAAAAAAAGCCAATGGGATTTTGGCCTGCATCAATAGGAGCCTAGTGTGTAGATCTAGGGAAGTCATGCTCCCCATGCTCTATTCCGCTTTGGTTAGACCACACCTGGAATATTGTGTCCAATTCTGGGCACCACAATTCAAGAGAGATATTGACTCTAAGCTGGAATGTGTCCAGAGGAGGGCGACTAAAATGATCAAGGGTCTGGAGAACAAGCCCTATGAGGAGCGGCTTAAGGAGCTGGGCATGTTTAGCCTGAAGAAGAGAAGGCTGAGGAGATATGATAGCCATGTATAAATATGTGAGATGAAGCCACAGGGAGGAGGGACCAAGCTTGTTTTCTGCTTCCCTGGAGACTAGGACGCAAAACAATGGCTTCAAACTACAAGAGAGGAGATTCCATTTGAAAAACGAGGAAGAACTCCTGACTGTTAGAGCGTCAGTTGGAACTCTCTGCCCGGATGTGTTGATTCAATGCAGAACAAATGTTGGAACACACAATCGTTTATTTTTATTAATACTTATTCTTCTCTTTGCTAATTTTTTTTATTATGCCTTCTTTCTTTTCACCTTTTTTTTTATCTTATTACTGTCATTTTCAACTCCTCCTCTC